TTTTTTTTTTTGGATCTGGATTGGGATTGGGATTTTCTTCCCTTTTCGGTGGGGCGGGCGATGGGGAGAGGAATGAGTCCAAGACGTGGAATGACGCGTTGCCGAGCGGGCGTGGGCCCAACAGGCGTCGATGATGCATGCGTGCATCCACACAGCTGTCACATCCCCACCGCCTTGCTCGCACCCCACCACGGCACCACACACGGCGCTTCTTCTCGAGATGCAACGTGCCCATCACCGTTTCACACTCGTCTATCGCCTGCCACGCCCCTTGATGCCATTTCTGGCTACTTTCGGCAGATCCGCTGCAGCCTCGCCCTCGTCATCGCACGGCATTCCACCTCTTTCCACCTCCGCCCTCCGCCCGCCCAACAGCGCAGAATCACGCACGCACCAACGCATCCACCCGGCCTCGACTGACTGACAAACTGACCGACTGACTGACTGACGGACTGACTGACTCAGGCTGGACTGCTCATTCAACGCTTCGCTTCCAGGCCACCTGACCAGCGCCCGGCTCGTGCCTACGTATATAGATCTCAGCCCTTTCCATCCTCCAGCATCGTCTTTCCTTCTAACTACCACATACCAGATTTCGTTGATACCAGCTCGAGAACAGATACCCTACCACTATCTGTCCGCGTCTAATCACATACCAGAAACTTCCCTTTCCGTATTGCACACCTGTCTTGGTTCACTGCGATACTTTCCCGCTCATCCGAGTACCACACTACCACCAATCTACGTCTCTCTCGACGCACGCGAAAGCACAGGCACACGCCGCCCGCATTCAGCTCAGATCAAGTAACCTCACCACCTGAACAAGTCATCCATCATGTCGACCGTTCCAACCGCCGTCAGCCAGGTGTCTGAGAACCCCTCGGCCAACGCCGTCACCTCGGCCGTCTCGGCCAACCAGAAGAACGCCGACGTCGACCGCAAGATGCGCTTCTTCGGCGTCATCCAGGCCTTCCGCGAGGGCCGCTACCCCGACAACAAGCAGATCGACGACACGCTCAAGTACACGCTCGCCAACAGCCCCGTCGAGACCTCCAAGCTCTCGCCCGACGGCAAGAAGCTCATCCAGGACGTCCGCGAGCTCATCGAGACCGCACGCCAGATCGTCGTCAACAAGAACGGCGAGGAGGAGTTCCAGAACTTCCTCTACGCCACCCGCAAGGCCAACGTCGCCGGCAACGTCAACGTCAAGGCGCCCATCACCGCCGACGACGCAAAGAAGGACCGCGAGACGGCCAGCGAGGCTTTCCGCACCCTCCTCACCCTCTTCCTCCGCAACGGCGAGCTCCGCAAGATCGTCCAGGACTTCGGCTACATCGGCCGCGACATGTTTGCCGACGGCGCCGCCAAGGCCGCCGAGGTCGCCCGCCCCGACGAGGACCGCCTCGCCGCCGTCGACCAGCCCGCGCCCGACAACGAGTTCCACGACGACATCCCCGAGTACCTCCGAAAGAAGGACCAGGCCAAGGCCGACGCCCAGGACAAGGCCGACCAGGCCAAGCAGGAGGGCGCCGCCCACGCCCAGGACGTCGCCGACGCCGTCGACCCCAACGCCAGCAAGGAGAAGAACCAGGCGGCCGTCGCCGAGGTCGCCAAGCAGAAGGCACAGCTCCTCTCGGACAAGATCCCCCAGAAGCACAAGGACCTCGCCAAGGAGCACAAGGACAAGGCCACCGACTACCTCCAGGAGAAATTCCCCAAGGAGCGTCGCGACCAGTTCTACTACCGCCTCAAGAAGGTCGTCGTCGAGTGCCAGCGCCACAAGGACTACCAAGACGCCATGGAGTACTTCCTCACCTTCTTCGAGCAGTACAAGGGACACGCCACGCACGTCGTCAACCAGTCCACCGAGAGCGCCAAGAACGTGCGCTCCGAGGGCAACGTCGCCACCGCCGAGACCACCTTCCGCCGCCTCATCGAGCGCTTCGCCAACGGCGCGCCCACCCAGTCGATCATCGACGCCGTCGACCAGCTCTACACCGACGCCAACAACGACCCCGAGCTCAAGGGCTGGTTCACCAAGCTCAACACCTACATCCGCAAGTGCCTCCAGGAGCCCGGCTTCATCATGAAGGACGAGGCCAACACGCAGGCGCGCCAGCTGCGCGACTCTGGCAAGAAGTTCTTTGTCGCCGCCGAGGGCCGCAGCGAGGGCAAGTACAAGCCGCACGCCGACGCGCTCTTCCGCGAGATCGCCTACTTTGGCAAGTCGATGCACAGCGACCCGCTCAACCGCAAGCTGAGCGCCAACGTGCAGCAGATCACCAAGGACCTCTTCCTCAACTCCGAGGGCGGCCTCACCTTCAAGCCGCACCTCTGGAGCGACATCCGCGACCCCATCCTGCCCGAGCTGCTCAGCCACGTCGGCCTCGTGCCGCTGCCGCGCATCGAGTACACGGACAAGCAGGTGGACCTCGTCATCGAGAACCTGGCCATCGACCTGCTCAACATCCTGCCCTCGCAGATCGAGATCGACATCCGCAACCACTTTAAGCTCTCGCAGTTTGACAAGCTGGGCGACAGGCACCAGCACTCGTTCAAGCTCACGCTGCACCAGGTCCAGACCGACATGCGCGACGTCCACTTCTTCTTCAACAAGAAGATGGGCTTCCCCAAGCTCAACGAGCGCGGCACCGCCGACGTCTTCCTGGGCGGCAAGGGTCTCACCGTGACGGTGCACCTCGAGGCCGAGAATGCGCCGCGCGGCAAGAAGAGCCGCCACATCTTTACGGTCAAGCAGGTGGTGGCCAAGGTGGACAAGCTCAAGTTTGCCATCCGCGACTCGAAGCACGACACGCTCATCAAGATCCTGCGCCCGCTCGCCACGGGCATCATCAAGAAGCAGATCTCCAAGGCGGCCGAGCAGGGCATCCGCGATGCGCTCGAGGACCTCGACCGCCAGCTTGTGGAGCTGCGCGACCGCATCGAGCGCAACAAGGCCATCGAGGGCAAGGGCGTCACCGACGCCTTCAAGGAGACCTTTGCCAAGAACGACGAGACCGAGTCCAAGAAGAGCGACGGCACGTTCAAGCTCGCCACGTCGAAGCGCAACTCGATCCTGCCCAACCTCGGCCACCCCGACGGCTGGATCCAGAAGGTGGACGAGCGCGACGCGGCGGCCAAGTCCAAGGCGGTGCCTGCCGCTGGTGCGGGTGCGAGCAAGGAGTGGTACTCGCCCGCCTTCACGATTGTGCAGCCGGGCCAGAAGGACCCTCGCAACACGGAGTCGGCCAAGTCGCAGAACCTCGGCCCCTCGCCCAACAACCCGGGTGAGCGCGCCAACACGTCGGGCGCCGCCGCCGCTGGAGTTGCCGGTGCGGGCGCGGCTGGTGCTGCTGGCCTTGCCGGTGCTGCGGGTGCTGCTGGTGTTGGCGCTGGCAGCGTTTCGGCTGCTGCTGCCCAGGGTGCTGGCCAGCCGGGCGAGACGGCGACTGCCTACTCGACGGCCAACGGCTCGCATGCTCCTGGCGCCATCGTTGCCGGTACGGGCGCCACTGCGATCCCGCACGGCAACGGCACCGCCGACGACTCGACGTTCGCCAAGGCGGCACCGGCGATCAACGGCGCGGCACACACGACTGCTGAGCCGGCGCAGCCGGTGAACCCGGCCTACGAGCAGGGCCGCATCGGTTAAGCGTGCAGAGTGTACCAACGGAAGCCATGATAGCGATGTGCGAAAGTATATACCCTCCGAGTCGGCTATCCCCTTTCTCCCTCTTCTTCCCCCCGTGTCTCTTGTTTCAAGCCCACGCTGGCTGGCGCCCGGATGCCTCTTTTGGCCCGCCGCTGCTGTCTGTAGTTCCACTTGTGGTAGAGTGGACTGCGGACGGGCGGTGGTGCGAGCAGGTTGAACGGCTGCTTAGCTTTGAATTATGTTTTGCCGAAAATGAAGCCATGTGTTACGAAAACCAAGCCAGAGTGTGTACAACTCTCCAAGGTATCAGGACGCCGTACGAATGAGTATATTTTTTTTTGGTCCGGACTTGATTGCTGTGTGCCGAGTGTGGTATGGGCGGGCCAAGTGAGATGAGATGGTGTTGGTTTCGCTGGGGTTGAAAGCTTCGCCGCTTGCGGTTGGCTTTGGGCGCAGGAAGAAAAGACGCGTGGAATCGGGAAAAGGGTGCAAGGGAAAAAAGGGGCCCGAAAACATCGACCCGAAAAAACTTCTTTTCCCTCCCGCCTTCCCCCTCCCTTCCCCCCAAATTGAGGGTGATTTGCGGTGGTCCCTGCCTTCAAGTGCAGGTGGCAGGCAACTGCTGTGGACGGACTGTGATGCTTTGAATACCTGCTTGGCGTAGCATCGTAAGTGTTGCAAAGAGAGGAGAAAGGTTCGGGTCGGATCAATGCCGAGAGAGCAAGAGCACAGCCCAAATGTTCTTTTTCAAAAAAAAAGTCACAGCGTTGCACCCCAGCTGCACAGCTGCACAGCTGCACGGCACGAGCGGCGTGCATCCCGCAAGAGCCTCGGCAGATGCGCACGCACGTCCATGCCGAACGCCCAACAGCAACGCCGAACCCTGCTCTTGGCTTCCTTCCCTCTCGTCCATCTGCAACCACATATACCCAAAGTCCATCCAGCATCTCTTCTTGCATACCTTCATACAGCCTCCGCCGACCATGCCACGCTCGCGCTGAACCACCACCATCACTGTCCGCCTCGATGGACGTCTTCCCAGCAGCGTCCTCGACCATGGCACAAGGTGCTCCCCCAGGCCTCAGCAGGCAGGGGTCCATCGCACGCACCAACGCCATCGCCATGCTCAAGCGAGCCGCATCAAACCGCGAGATGAAGGCAAAGGCAGACACATCCGCACCCCCACCCGCTTCCTCCTCGCCCAACATCCCCACATCCGATGCTGCATGCCTTGATCCCACCTCCGCGCTCACCCACATCCACCCGTCCCATGCCTTCAACACAACGCCACAAGCCACCGATACAACAGCACCCCCCGCGATAGCCGCTCAGCTCCTGCCCGAATCCCCCCCTCTCTTGGCCAACCCTGCCTCGTCGCCCCCACACACCGCCAACACCCTGCTCGCAGCACCCTCGCCCAACCCAGCCAGCGAATCAGCTTCGTCGCGCTCACGCTCACCCATGTTCCACGATCGGCCAGCACAGAGACCCTTCAACCGCTCCCCGCTGCCGTCGCTCGAGCAGCTGCGCGCCCGCATCCTGCTCGAACGCGAGTCGGCCGGCCTCCAACCCAGCGCCAGCACCAGCGCAGCAAGCCAGGCCGCACGTGCCTATGCCCTCGAAAAGCTCCTCGGCAACAGCGGCACTGACGTCTTTTACGACCATACCCCCGACGGCACCCTCATCGGCCGCGCCGCCGCCACCCCCTCGCCCACCGCCATGGCGCGTCGCGACGCAGACTATGCAGACATGGCCTCCGACGACGAGTCGGCGCACGAGTCCGGCCTCCGACGCCAGTCCATACGTCAGTCGATCAAGAACCGTCCCATGCTGAGGAGAAGCCGCACCATCAACGGTCTCACCGCCATGGCAGAGGCTCAGAACAAGGCCGAGTTCGTCCAGGGCGTCTTCCTTGCCGTTCCCGGTCCGGCGTCCAACCGCATCTCGCGCATCCACCAGCGCCGCGTAGAGCGCCAGAGCATGCTCCAGCGCGCCTCCACCAGCACGGGTCCGTCGGAACCGGCCATCCCGGAACACAGCTCCGACGCAAACCAAGATGCGACCACGCAGCCGACTGCCGCACCCACACTAGAGCGCCAACCTTCGCAACGACAGATTGCGCGGACAGAGATGATGCGCAAACTCAGCACGCGCGGACGCGGTACCGCCACCCCAACCAGCGAGCCCTCGGCCGCAGCAGCCCCACCCGCGCCGACAGTGCAGCACCCTAGGCTGCCACAGCTCATCACCGACTCGCCCGCCGTCGACGAGACCATCAGCCCCGTCGGCGTCGTCATCCGTCCTCCCTCTTCGCCAGTGCCTCCGCACATGTCCCACCTCGACCTGCTCGGCGCTGCCTCATCACCGGTCGTCTTTCGCCAGAATCTCAGCCCTGCCAGCGCAGCCCATGCAGACATCCACACTGGCGCTGTCTCGTCTCTCGCTGCCGACCTCGACTTGTCGGCATCGCCGAGTCTCAAACCTTCGTCGTCTGCCGCATCCCTGGCGTCCAACTACGCTCACAGCACCGCCACCAACGCCACGGCTCACCACAACTACGAACGCAACAGGGAAAGCGCCATGGCCCTGCTCGAGAACGAGGACAATTTTGGCTTTGAGGCTTCGCCCTCCTTTCCCTCCATCGGCACCGACCTCGCTCGAGCCCAGACCCCCATCGATCACTCAACAGCAGCAGAGCACACGAGCAACCGTGACCGCAATGGCGTGCATCGCATCCCGGACGCCAACGCATCCGATAATGAAGGCCTCAGCCTCGACTTTGGCGATGCGAGGACAAAGCGTCGCGCCGGCCTGGTCGGCCTCGGCCTCGATTCGGTCGCGCATGCGTCCGCATCGCCACAAGTCCAGCAGCCAGGGCAGTCCTCGACCGCACAAGATCAATCTGCAGACCTGCCTTCTCGCTCGCATCCTGGCGCAATCGCATCCGACCGCAATACAAAGGCACGCCAGTCTCTGGCAAAGCTAAGCGTCAAGCCGTCACCGCAGGACCTCCTTTCGAGTCCCGCCTCCTACACCGACGACGAGCCGCTCGAAGACGAGGCCTTCTACAAGCTCTACTCTCCTGCAGCTGGCCTCTACGATGATGACGATGACGAAGACGAAGACAGGCATCACCCTCCCGCCACCCAGGCCACCCAGGCCACTTCGGACCACCAACCATCACAGAGCGACAGAACTTCGCAGACCTCGGCTCCCGCACCCGTGCAAGGTCTCGGCCTCATTGCTTCTGGTGCTGCTGCGCCCGCAGATGCAGAGCTGCCCAACACCCCACCGCAGCGTCTGTTCTACCGCGGCAATGCAGCTGTGCCGTGCGATCCTTCGCCCGGCACCGAAACCGACTTTGGCGACGTCCGTCGCACACCCTGGATGGGCTCGAGTCCGGGCGGATTCAACCTGCCGCTGCGGCTGTCCAAGTCGCTCATCTCGACCGCGCAGTCCGACTCGCCCGCGCCCGATCCGAGCCCCGTGATGCGCGGGCCTTTCCGGCGCGCGCGCGGCGACTGGCCCATGTCGGTCGCAAGCAGCGGCACACATCCGGCCAGCAGAGAGAGCCTCGAGAGCCGCAGCGAGCCAGAAAGCCGATTCCGATCGTCCGAAGAGGGCGGCATCGTAGGCGGGGCGCCTGCTATCGGTTCGCCGCTCATCGAGCTGCCAGAGGACGAAGCGATGGGCAAGGAAGGCGGGGTTGATGAGCAGCCACCACAACCAGCCGCGCCCGAATTCGAGCTCCTTTCACCTTCTTCGAGCTCGAAGCCATCGGAGCGTGTCCAGGCGATGCTGGGCTCCAGCTTTGTCGCCGAGTACGGCGCCGAGCTCGAGTCCGAGTCTCGCTCGCGCTCTTCCATCGGCGCGGACGAGGACAACCAGCTTCAGGTGCCTGGTCGCCACAGGGCGGGCTCAACCAACACGCACAGCAACGTCTCGATCAACGACATGAGTGACGTCGACGGCGAGGTCGACGAGGCATACCTCCAACGCGTCGACCGCATGGCCGACAAGCTCGGCAAGATCGCACGTGCCAAGCACCTGCACTCTAAGGACAGCGTCTCGCGCGCCGTCGTCGCCAACATCACCAACGCCGAGCGAGGAAGACCGATGGGCGGGAGCAGGTTTACGGAGCAGCTGCCGAGTACGGCGCTCGGATCGCAACGTACCTCGGCGGATCTGTCGGCGCTTGCGGGCAACGAGAAGCTGCATCCCTTCCCTGGTCTCACCCAGGCAAGCCCGCTGCTCAGCCAGGAGGGCTTCAGCCCCAAGAACGGTTCGCCGCCGTCGGCGAGCCGGGCAAACTCGCAGTCCAAGGGCACTCGGCCGGCGGCGGGCGACTCACCGACCTTGGCGACCGGGCAGAAGGAAGATGCCGAGGGCAGCGGCAGGCAGATCGGGCTCTTCTCGTCGCTGCGTCGCAAAGCTTCGAGTCTGCGCCGGACGCCGTCGTCGGCCAAAGGCGCGGGCGGATTCTTGGCGCGCCGAGGGAAGAAGGACGAGTCGCCCAAAATGCCGTCGGAAGCGTCGTTCATCTCGGCGCCCATCCTCACCACCGCCACACCCGGACCGCCGCCCATGGCTACCCAGCCCGTCGCCGTCGCGG